TGACTGGCCACACACTGAGATTCTTCTTGTCCAGCCACGCAAAAAGTGCTAGCATGGTTGATGCTCGTTTGTTTGCAGTGCGCGGCGATTTGTTGCCAAACACATCCCTGAGGATACTACCATAGTCCCTTCCATCGCTCACTGCATCCCTGACTGCTGCACCAACTAAACCTGTATAGCAAGCACATGCCAAAACAGTGTGCCACTTCTTCAGTGCTTTCGTCCATGACTCTTCTATGGCTGTAAGATGATCCACATCACGTTTCAACTTGACGACCTGTGAAAAAATGCAGTCAGTGCGGTCACGCTTCAGAATCTTACTTGAGACACCTGTCAAAGCATCAACACTTGACTCAGTTGGCTGTGCATCCTCGAGGTCAGGAGGCAAAGGACATGAAGCCAAATTGGATGCCAAAAAATCGTCATTGCTTCCAAAAATTGTTGCAAAAACTCCGGATTCCCACGGCAGTGACTGAGTGAGGTTCCGACTGTTGACAAAATGCGCCTCCTGCAAAGCCCGATCAACCTGTTGGCCAATCCATGCTGCACCTTCGTCCACAGGTCCATGCAATGCTGCGTCAACCTGAGCATCATGCGACAAATCATCAACATCAGGAATATCAAATCTGTCAGTAGGGTGTTGAACATCTGTATGCGTACGGCTCCAAACTGTCAAAGAATCAACCAGACTGTCATTGTTTGCATTTGCAATTGCAACACGTCTGTTTGCATTCACCACTGAAACAGGTTCAGATGTATCTGCTCCAGCTCCATACAGTTCAACGTCCTTGATCACCACGTCGAAAAATTCGGCCATACGCAAACCCCTACTCAGAAAATTTCAAACATGGCGTCCTAAAAAACGCGAAACCCACCCACCCACCTCTTGAACATAAACTGTGGGAGAACATAAAAGTCATTGACATGTACCCAAGATAAGTGTTGACAAAGAAGCACAGCAGTCTGAGAAAAACACATCAAGAAAAGCGTTGCAAGACAAATGTTAACTGTTTGAAATTACAGTGTTGACATTTGAGACCCATACTTCAAGTGACCCCCAGAACCGCATAGCCTGCATTCAGGCAAACGGTTTTTTAGATTTAGGAAATAAAGAGTTATCACCACGTTGGGCGAAAAACCTCTTAGCTTTGAGCAAAGCGTTGAAAACCGCAATGACTCTTCGGAGAAGCTATAGAGGCAGTGCGGGGCCATCCGCTCTTGCAAATGATGTGCGGCAGCGAGCCGCTCCACGTTGCCAATATTCCATTGACGTTGCCGCCCAGCTTGTGGAAGAAAAGCGCGCAAAGCCGCTGCTTCTTGCTTCTCCTTCTCCTTCTTGCGGGCTGCCCGCTTCTTTGCAGCTGCCTTCACAGATACAAACTGCGTAGTTGGGTCCAGGGAATACAAGACTTGGTCTGCCACTTGGCACTTCAACCGCCTTGTGTATTTCTGGCGCTTGGCTTCTGTCCACAGTGGACGCATTGAAAACCCTAATTGTCGAGCCAAAACATCAGGGTCATCAACAAGATCATAGCAAGCGGCAAGCTTTCGGCAGTTGCTTGGTTCAGCAACTACTGCACGGATCTCTTGAAAGCGTAATCTTGTGCTCACAAAAGCACCGCTGAAGCGGCCACGTTTGTTCACAAAAGTATTGACTATAGAATGGTCACCTTCTTGCACCCTTTCAACGGTCGGTGCAAATTGCAAGCTCCAAACAAATTTGCGAAGTGTTGGTAGGTCCTCAAGAGGCGCGCCTCCAACAAATGCTTCCATTTCTCTTCGTCCTTCTGTCCCTGCGGCAAGATACTTTAAGGTCAAACGGTGGTGCAAACTGGCTTGGGGCAAAGCGTCAAACCTCTGCAAAGTGCCTTTAGCCAGGTGCCTGGCGTGAGCAGCATCTCTGTGGTTGAGGGCTACCATAACCCATGGCAAGGCTTCCCAGCATTGCAATTTCAAGCGGAGGTATTCCACCATGGTGCTTTTCCCCAGGGCCAAATCAGCAAGGGTTGATTGCACAGCCTCTTCATCGTTGCAGCAATTGAATGCCAAGATCTCATGCACATATCCTTTTTCAAGCTCATCCAATAACGGCCACAATTCACCACTAGCGAGCTCCACTGCTCGCTGGCCAGCTAAGGGGCATTCGAAAGCCTGCCCGTCACCTTCTCCTGTTGAAAACCCGAATGTTTTGCGCGCTGCTTCTAGATACTGACCAGGCGAAACTTCAGAAGCAACTTCTGCACCTGCGCTGCCCATGTCTTCACTGACAGCGGTCTCTGCAGAAGTCCGCCGCAACCAGCTGTGACAACTGCAGGATTCAGCCCATGCACTCAAGTCTTCGCTGAAACTCCCAAGCTTCTGGAGCATGGCAGTGTACATCCACCAAGCCTCAGATTCAATGGCTTCTGTAACAGCTTGCATTTTGAAATCCGGGTCTTGCGGCTCCCTCTCCGCTCCGTCCCCTTCTGCTTCATTTTGCTCAGAAAAAAGTTGCGCAAATTTGTCCGCTCTCCAAATCTTCTGCAAAAGGAACTTCAAAGACAGCATTTTTGGCAAGATTTGGGTGATGGTGTTCCAGCGCCAAAGGGCTGGTTTTGGCGCAGCCGTGTCAAATTTTCCTCGGAGCCATTCCCATGGGGTCCCAAGCACGCAAGTCGCCACCAGCCTGTTTCTGAGATGTTTGTAGTGCAGCAGGGCAGCTATTGCTTTGAAACCTACAACCCAACTATCAAACCCATTCAGCTTCATGTGCACATCTTTGGCCATATTGTGGAATATGTGCAGCAAGCCTGGCGACGGTATCGAGTTGGGCAGGAAATATTCAGAGCTTTCATCATTGTCGGAATCAGAATCGCCGCCGGCCAGGTTCACCCAATCATCTTCGGATACCAAGCCTGCATTGGCATCCGAAACCCATGCAGGACAAAGCTCTGTCAGCTTAAGACCTTGGGCAAGCGAGAGCCCCCCTTCTGTGCCCATGTCTGTGCATACGCATACAACTTTTCTCAGTGCTTTCCGCGCCAATTTGAAATCTTGTGTTTCAGCAAGTACCTTTCGAAAAATGCAAAGCATTTTCTTTTCGAGCGACGAATCCCCACTGCCCAGCCCAAGGGGAATTTGCCTGTGCAAGGCGATGGCTTTCGAAAGGAAAACTCCATCTTCATGTCGTCTTTCTGCTATTTCCATCGACAAAGCAAAATCTTTGTTCGACACGGCTAGCTGGAAATCCTGAACAGAAGCTTGCAAGCGGCGAGCAGCTGCCGCACTGGGTTCAAGCTGTTCTTGGGGCACAATCCTGAGCATTGACAGCAGCCAATCAGTCCCGCCTTGTGGGCTGCTGTCTGCCCACAAATACAAGTGTCCAATTGACTTTGCAAAGAACTCTCTGGCAAAATATGTGCAGAGCGCCGCGTCAATCTTTAGCTGGGACTCACTGATTCGCGTCCGCCCAGGCAGCATCTTGGCTGATTGCTCAGCATTTTCTGGCTCGCAGCCAGCGCTTTGCAAACTGTGCTGGATCGTCTCTGCTAACTTCCCGCGGTCCCTCATGTGCATCGCTGCAAGCAAAGCATGAAACATGGCAGTGGGAGTGTAACGTTTTCTGCGGTAGCCCTGAGCTATTTGCCACGTCCTCTGCTCGTCTTTCACCATTTGGTCTAAACGACTCACCTGATCTTCCAAGAAAAATTGGCATTCCATCTGTTCATCGCACCCTTCAATGGTTCCCAAAATGTGGCCAGACTGTGCCCGCAAAAAAGAAGCTAAAGCACCCGCGTGTTCCGCAGTGAAATTGAATTGCCCTGCTGGTGCAAGCATAGCCGCAACTGAATCTTCAGCTTCACCTTGAGCGGAGGATGCCTTGGCTGCCTTCTCTGCTTCGGTAGCTTTTTGCAATTCCCTTTTGCGCACCTGAAGCCACTGCTGGCTGGGAAATTGGAATTGTTTTTGGAAGGCCTCGACCGCTGAACTAAATTGAAATTTCTGCGCCAAAAACATCTTGTCTTCCAGAAGACAATGTGTCCAAGCCCTGCGTAAAATTAACTGCAGCGGCAATGGCGGCATGCGCAGGCCGCAAGGTGCCTGCAAAAAACTTGCAACCTCTTCAGGTCCACACGACAACCTGCTTTCAAATTGCGCGCGGCTCATCCCGCTGCTCTGCGCCACCTCATCCCAAGTAAGAGGAAATTCAGGCGACCAAAACTTGAAACGAAAACGGAATGGGCAATCGACTTCTAAGAATGGGTCCAAAGGCAAAATTTTCACTACACGCACGCTGCAGAAGCCTTCCATGGTAGATATGCCTTGCCCAGCATCACTATCATAATCAAAAAAGCGACCCAAGTATCGCTCCTCCTCTGTCCATTGAGTGAGGATTCCGCGGCTTTCCTTCCCGCTTTCAACTTTTGCGATGGCAATGCACCGCGCCACCCTGCTCCGATCTGGCACTGCGTCCTCCGCGGCCCTTGCATCAAGATGTTTTCGCTCACGCTGCAAGTCTACAAGGTGGGAAAGTCCATGCTCCCTTGCTAGAGAATCCAGCCAATGCACAGGCGGGGTCGCCCGCTTCACCGTGGTTGGCGGCTTTCCTCCGCTGGTATTTAACTTCCTGTTTTTGCGAAGCACATTGTCTGCGCAAAGAAGCAGCAGCGCCATGATGAAAACCACAACAGCGCTGTGAAACATGTTACCATGGTAGATTCGCTTCAAAAAGCCTGCAATGCCTGCAGGAAGCAAGAATCACATGGAAGCCCCTATAGAAATCGAGGTAAATATTTGCAAGGTTGGTAGATGTGATTAAAATTAAGACTAAAAAGTTACAGCAATGGAAACTGAATCATCAAAACAAATGAACATGGTCACAAACCAATTGGTTTGACAGAAAACATGAAGAAAACCACATAAGTTGCAAAATCAGCTATATATCCCAGGTAAGGCCTGGGCTCGTCCAAAAACGCCAAGACTTTAAGGACTTTGGAGGATCTTACACATGACTTGGTTACACTTCTGAAAGCATGGTGTGTGTCATCCTTGCGCAGATATGCATTCTGGACAAAAGAACATTGCTTACAATGTTCACAAGAGAAAAAAGGTGACATTTAAAAACACTGCAGGTTCAGAGGTTTCATTGTTAAAATAAACCAGACCGAAAAACCAACCTATGTTGGTAAAGAACCCGCAGCTAACTGCAGTCACCACAAACCCAGATGCACGCACAAGGAGACGCGGAGGACGCACGCGAGAGAACGCAAGAGGAGTCCACTAGAAGCTGCTCCCAGCTTCTTTTTGGGAAAAGGAAAAATAGAGTTACATCAGCTCGCTGAGTCGCAACTTATTTTTCCAAGAACCCAAAACCATGGACACCCAAAAAGTAACGCGTGCAGTCCAAAACATTCAAACAACACCATGCAGAAAAAGACATAAACATCAAAAAACGTATATATATATATCCCCATGAGAGTGTATATATATATATCCTAAAAACATTCGCCGACGCAGTCTGAAAAATCTTCTCCAAAACGAAACTCAATGAACATGCACGAAAATAACGGCTTCACTGGCGCACTGGAGTTCAGCACTTTTTACTCTTACAGATGGGGAGATCACGCCGCCCGCTTTCGCCACGGCCCCCACCCATGTTAATTGTGG